TCTATCTATCTATCTATCTATCTATCTATCTAATCTATCTATCTTCTATCTATCTATCGATTATCTATCTATCTACTATCTAATTTATAATGAAAAAGTAATTACATCTTCATTATGAATATACTTTACATATGTATATTTTCATTCATACAAATTAAAACAGATTTTATTTCAATCCTTACGTGGCCTTAACCTAATTGCACCCATTTAAAGAACGTAAAATTAAACTTAATACTAGTACAACATCCTCGCCCGAAGGAAAAATTTCAAAATGACGCAATACACGACTTATGGTACTCTTCATTTCGAGCATGGCAAATTTTTGGCCAATACAATTACGCGGCCCAGCCGAGAAAGGAACATAGGCAAAAGAATTAATATTATCGGGTGATTCACTATAAAATCGCTCGGGATTAAAATCATTGGGTTGGTTAAAGTAATCGGGATCACGACCGGCAGCATAAACAAGCATAGTAATGGTAGTATTGGCGGGAATGATTTGATCACCTGAAATAAAACATAATTTTTCTTATAATGAATAGGTTATGGGAACATTTTCAAGTAGTTTAGACATACCTATTTGTATGTCCTGCACAGCCTGGCGTCCTATCATGGGAACTGAGGGATACAAACGCAAACATTCCTTAATTACAGCTTCTAAATATTTAAGATTTTGTAAATCTCTCATGGTTATAGGTTTATCTTTATCTGGACCCAAAACCTCTAAAATTTCCTTAAATACTTTCTGCTGTATTGAGGTGTGACGTGATAGTATATATAAACAAAATGATATGCCACTGGTAGTGGTGTCATGACCCTCAAACATGAATGTATCAACTTCTTCACGTATATCCTCCTGTGACAGAGGTTTGCCATCTATTGTGGCTTGTAGTAAGACATCGAGGAAGGCTAAACGTTTCTTTTGACCCTCAGCCAAATCGATAATTGGTACTGGAAGATTATTAATTGGGCGTATAATTTTTACTAGATATTATTTTCATATAATTTACCTTCTTTAGTTTGTTTTTCGGAGATCATTGCAGCTCTACGTTCATTTATGACTTTATTGGTAAAATCGTGCATTATTTTTATACTTTTCCTTAGCCGTAGATATGAGGGGAATTCTGTCAATAAATAGGTTATGTCATAATAAAGTGGAGGTCTCACGGCACGCGTTGCAAGTAAATTTGTGGCGCTGTAAAATAGAAGTATATATTTCATTAAAATTCTTTATTAATATCATTTCATTTCCAGCTCACTCTTTTACCGCCCTTGCATATGGAAAATCTGGATTATCTTGAGCATTAATTTTTACCCCCATTGCAGTTTCCGCAATTATATCCAATGCCGTTAAACATATCACCGGAAATATATCAAATGTTGTTTTACCATCTGCTTTCGCCTGAAGTTTCTTAACTAACACTTTACTCTGACGATCGAAAACTTCAACGAATTCTTCTAAAATCTTAAAATGATATGTTGGTGTTAGAATTTTACGTCGAGCATGCCATTTGGGGCCATAGCTTAAGAGTAAACCATCGCCCAACCAACAGGAGAGCATATCGTAAATGAAAGGTTTCTTAATGAGGTGTTGGCTGCTTAGAAGTACTTCGAAATATTTGGGATCTTTGACTACAATTAAAACGCGATGAAATAACCATAGACGAAATACTTTACCGAATTGGTCACCCAGACGTTTGAAGAGAGCAAAGACATCTAGAAAAGGGAGGAAGAGAAAATTTTATAAAATCACACATTTTTACATTCTGAGTAATGGATCCGACAGAGGATCAGCTCTATATTTAGTTTTAGGGGCCAGGCTGAAGCCCTTGAATCCCAGTATATTACCAGACTTTACTCTTTTTCTATTCTCTCTGTTTTTCCTAGATATTCTCTATTCAAGATTCTTTACTTTCTTTAAAGAGAATCACAATGAACCCACTGGTCTACGATTGGAATTGCACATCTTTTCCTTTCATATAACTCTATATATACCCTTAAGAAGTTGCGCTCTAGAGCCTCAAAGTAGAACAAATAATATCCTCTTTCGTAATATGAATCCATTTAGTTTTAGAGGCCAGGTTCTCTCTGATTTTCTTATATATTTTCTATTCTTGGTCTCCGAGTGGAGTTGCATATCTTTACTTTCCATATATTGTTACCAAAGTTGAACATTGAACGGGATATATGTAGGTCCCATAGGTCCTCTTCGGAAAATTAACTTTAAAAGTTCATAATTGACTTAAAAAACCTGTATAGCGATAAACTTTGACATAAACAAGTTTGTTTCTGGAACCGAAATATCACGACGGATTTTCATTGGAATCGGACTATAAGTGGTTCCATCCCTCATAGAACCCCTTTTATAGAAAATTAGTTTGTTATTAATAAATCGTTTGAAACTTATAATATTTAAATAAAATCACATACAAATGAGGAAATTAATCACTCTTTCAAATTCTGTAGAGTGCGGTTCTTAAATGATTCAAGACCCCATGAAAGAATCTGCTCCGAAAACCAATCTGATGCTTATAATAAAAGCGGGATAGGGCAATTCAGCATAAATCCATTAAATTAGTCAATGGTGATAAAAAATTCCGAAAGGATTGTTCCAAATTGATCAATGTCCATATGTAGGACTAACCACCTTCCGAAATTAACTTTAAATTGACGTGATATATTAAGATGGTGAGTATTTACTTGTTTTTAAATCTGATATTAATGATTCCTTAGATATAAGTTTGTCATTCCGTTTGCAATTTCTTCAATATAATTTTCCGACCTTATAAAGTATCCGAGTACTTATAGGAGTTAAATTAGCCATGACCGTCTCTGCGCATGTCTGTCTCTCCCTATGTATGTTGAAATCAGTTTTCCGACGATACCGGGTATTTGAAAGATGTGTGTCTTTAATAATTAATAATGATATCGCGATAAAATTGACTCGAATGTGGTTTGTATTTATATAAATCATTCGGTGAAAAGTATAATTCTGCGATCCGATTCGGGTCCGAAACAGTTCAAATAATACTAAAACAAAATTTTATAATTTTCACGTTATTTACTTAAAGTATCATTTCCAATGGTCTCGATTACATCTCCGATTAATGGCAAAGTATAAGAGGGTCCCGGTATACGAGAATCTCTCAAAATCCGATAACGCCTTCTTTTGCATAAATAGTCCCATAATAAAATACACAAAAATAGAACAAAACCGCTAAAAAACCACATTTTCCACACTTTCTCAAACGTTATTTATTTAACAATTTAATCCGATTTTCTATAAAAAATTGATGTTGTCTCACCAACAACAGTTTTAAAACTGTTTTAAATAAGTTGTTGTTTTTATTAAACGATCCCCCTTAGAATGAAAAAAAAAATATATATATATATATTAATGAATTGTAGGTTTTGAGTTTAATAATGATTTGTTAATAATAGTTTGTCATTAAATATAAAAACAATAAAATAATGCAAAATGTATAAAATTGTCTACAGCTTCAATTGTTGCTTTAGCATGAACAGATTTTTTTCAAGATTGTTATCAAGTTTATAACAAAAACAGATCAACTTGGGACTTCAATGTGAACTGGGTTAATAGTGGCAACACTGCCTGTTGTTGCTACTAGTGCTGCTGCTGCGGACTGATAACAGTTCTCAAGTTCACTTTTCAAATTCACTTTTTCTAATAAAATGTATAAAATCCCCATTGGAAATTTATTAAAAAAATCTTCATAAACTTTCTAAATTTTATTAAATTAAAATATTTTATTATAAAAATACACAATAATACTAAAACTTAAGAGAAATCTACGCTCCCTTAATAAACTTTAGGTTTCAAACCCAAATTAATACCCGTGGCTGAGCGCAAAATCAAATTCATTACCGGCACCACTTCTTCACCCAAAGGCAACAATTCAAAATGTCTAATCATTTTACTAATAGTACTTTTCATTTCTAACACGGCAAACTTTTGTCCAATACAATTGCGTGGACCAGCCGAGAAGGGTACATAGGCAAAGGGATTAACATGATCCAAAGCATTGGACATAAAACGTTCCGGTATAAAATCATTAGGTTTAGCAAAATAATCGGGATCTCGGCAGGCGGCATAAATAAGCAAACTAATATTAACATTAGCGGGTATGATTTTGCCATCTAAAGGAGAAAACAGAATTGATAATTGATATGACTTTAACCATATTCCCGAAAAATCTCACCCATTTCCACTTCTTGCTCTGTAATACGCCCTATCATGGGTACTGGTGGATATAAACGTAAACTTTCCTTGATTACCACATCCAAATATTTCAAATCTTGTAATTCTCTCATGGTCACAGGTTTATCTTTATCGCTTCCTATAACCTGTAGAATTTCTTCAAAGACTTTTTGTTGCACCTCTGGATGGCGTGCCAAAAGGTATAAAGTATGCGATATACCACTAGTAGTGGTATCATGACCTTCAAACATAAAGGTATCGACTTCTTCACGTATATCTTCATTGGTTAGAGGCTTACCGGCTACAGTGGATTGTAGGAGTACATCTAGGAAAGCCATACGTTTCTTAACGCCCATGTCATCGGTGGTATTGGCTAGAAATCGGAGTTAAATAGAAAATATTTGATTTAAAAAAGTTTTCAAAATATATAATGGACTATTGTCCAGACTATAAGCCAAACTTTAGACTAGACTATATAGGAATAGGCCAGACTTTTGACTAGGCTATAGTCCAGATTGAAGGCTAGACAATAGCCCAGATTGAAGACTAGACTATAGTCCAGACTAACGACTGTACTGTTGTTCAGAACATAAACTACACATAATCCACATATAGGCTACAGTTCAGACTTAATAATAAAATTAACACCAGACTATAGTCTTTGATATAGACAAGACTTTAGTCCTGGATACAGACTAGATTATAGTCCAAATTATAGACAACACTATAGTCCCGATTGTAGACTATACTATAGCTCAGACTAAAGACTTTAATATAGCCCATACTATATACTAGACTATAGTCCAGACTATAGACTAGACTACAGTCCAGACTATAGATCAGAATATAGAATAGACTTTAATCTAGACTATAGAATAGATATAAGTGCAGACTATAGACTAGACTATAGATTAGACTACAGTCCAGACTATAGACTAGACAATTGTTCTGACTATAGACTAGACTATAGTCCAGCCTATAGATATAGTCTAGACTCTATCTCTATCCAGACTCTATCTTTCTGTGTACAGACTAGACTATAGTCGAGACTCTATTCCAGACTACAGACAATAGTCCAGACCATAGACTAGACTATAGTTCAGAGTATAGACAATAGTCCAGACCATAGACTAGACTATAGTTCAGACTATAGACTATAGTCCAGACTATAGACTAGACTATATTTCAGACTATAGAGTAGACAAGACTATGGACTAAACTATAGACTATACTGTTCTGACTACAGACTAGATTATATTCCAGACAATAGACTAGACTATATTCCAGACTATAGTCTAGACTATAGACCAGTCAATAGTTTAGGCTATAGACTATACTATAGTTTAGACTATAGACTAGAATATAGCCTAGACTATAGACTAGACTATAGTCTAGACTATAGATTAGAGTATATTTCAGACTATAGACTAGAGTCCAAATCAAAGACTAGACTATAAGCCAGACTATAGACTACATTATAAACCATATTATAGACTAGAATATAGTCCAGACTATGGACTAGTCTATAGACTATATTATTGTCCAGAAAATGGACTAGAGTATAGGCCAGATATTACTCTATTGTTCTAACTACAGTCCAGACTATAGAGAGGACTATTGTTCAGATTATGACCTAGACTATATTCCAGATCATGGATTAGATTATTGTCCGGAATATAGACTAAAGTGTAGTTCAGACTATAGATGATATCAAATACACCTCACTTCCACTTACTCATGGCCACAAAGGTACCATCCTTAATTGATTTCTCCAAAGCTTCGCGCCTCTCTCTAATAACTTTATCAGTAAAATTATGCATAATTTCAATACTTTGTTTCATTTTACGATAACTTCTATATTCGAAGAGTCTAAACAGGAACTCAAAACGTTGAGCGGGTTTCATAAAGCGTGTAGCTATAATATCGGCAGCACTGAAAGATTATTTTTTTATAAAAACTTGTTTGCAAAATGTTAACTAAACAAACTCACTCTGTCACTGCTTTAGCATAGGGGAAGTTGGGATTCTCTTGAGCATTAATCTTAACACCCATGGCAGTTTCGGCTATAATATCCAAAGCCGTCAAACACACTATGGGAAACATATTTAGAGGGGTTTTACCATCGGCCTTGTCTTTTAATCTTTCTACCATAATAAAACTTTGTTGATCGAATACTTCTACAAATTGTTCCAAAATTTTGAAATGATAAGTGGGTGTTATGATCTTACGGCGAGCATGCCATTTGGAGCCTGAGCTTATGAGTAAACCATCGCCCAGCCAACATTTTAAAAGATCATATAAGGCGTCTTTCTTAATGACTTGCTGGCTGCTGAGTACACTTTCAAAATATTTCGCATCTCGTATTATTATCACACATTCACCGAAAACCCACAAACGTGCTACTTTGCCATATTCCTCGCCTAAGGCCCTTAAGAATTCAAAAACCTCTGCACACATAAAGTTATATTAATAAGGGTATATGTAAGTTAAAAATTTAAAGTTTCAAACTTACGTGATGTACTATTGCCTATGGCTAATAGGGCATTACCCAATAGCGGCAGTGGTTTGGGACCTTTAATGCCCGCTTTTTTAAATAATTCTTCACGATGTTTTTTATTAAAATAGTCCAAGACTAATAGAAAGGTAATAAAACCTATTAATAATTCCCAAAACATATCGTGTCCGTTTTATTTTACGCGTTCTTGCTAAATGATTGGGGTTTATATATAAATATTTACTTTGTATTATCAATCTTCTGTTGGAGTCTATTGCAATTCTTTTAATCGCTTCTATTAGTACTTGTAATCGCTCACTCTCTTATCAGCGGGAGATAACGTACATATGTTTTGAGTTACCGAAAATATTCATTGATTTGTTCGCATAATCTTATCGCCTTAAAGAAATGCCAATATAAAAAGATTTAGAGATGTTAGGATTTAGAACCGATTCAGAATCGGTTTTGCTTATAGGTAACTTAAAACCGATAAAAGTCCGTCTTAGATGTTAAGACGATCTAAGCATATTCACCCGTGTTTCAGTCTCTCCATCTTTCTGTGTATAAAAGGTTTAGAGATGTAGAATCGATAAAGAACCGGGTTTTGATATTTGCTAACTGTAGTAAATGACAAAAAACCTCAAAAATTTAATCTAATATTAAGTAAACTATAATATAAACTATAGACTAGACTGCTCTCCAGACTATAGACTAAACTATTGTCCAGACTTTACACTGGGAAATAGACTATAGTAAATCCCAGTCTATAGACAAGTCGAAAGTCCATACTATAGACTGAAGTCGGAAAAGGACTATAGTAAAGCCCACTCTATAGATAAGTCGAAAGACTATACATACTATAGACAAAAGTCGCCATAGAGGTCACTCGATATTTGATAAACTGTCATTAACACGTGCATAATATAACTCAAGTTGTATTGTCTAATATAATAATAATCATATCCCTGATCAGAATATTGAACGTTTCCAAACGACTATTTAGCAAATCTACTCCAAAACAATAACAAAACAAAGTTCAATTTACTTTTGTTTAAATTCATTTCATTGATAAGATTATTAACTATTTTATATATATTTTATGTGTTTATTCCAATGAACCAATACATTTGGTTCTACACTGACTTTTAAGTATATTAAGAAAAACTTTCTTTTAAAAAATGTCAATATTAAGAAGTTTTTTAATAACCTAAGAATCAGTTTATTTTAGACTTTCTAGTCCTCATATTTTAAGCCCCAATACTAGGCTTCCCAAATATTCACTAGTGTAGGGTATCATATGTTCGAACATAACCTGCTATAAATTCTTATTGTATTTTTTTTTACAACAAAAGTTACTTTATCGTTTAATAGCATTTAAACACTTTTGATAAGAAATTCGATTTACAAGAATTATCAAAACCCCCCACGTATCTACCACTAATGGGGTATCACGGTTTTGCATTGCAACAAATATGTGTCAGTGATTAAAACGTCTGGCTTCCATATATATACATATGTATATAAACTAACTCTCGATAACTATAATCTAGTATACAGTCTAGTGTATAGTCAAGAATATAGATTAGTGAATAGGCTTGTCTATAGACCAGACTATGGTCTAGTGTATCATTCAGACTATAATCTAGTCTATAGTTCGGATTATAGTATAGTCTTTAGTAAAAACTATAGTCCAGGCCACAGTCTAGTCTAAAGTCGAGTCTATAGTCTAGACTGTACAATAGTAAAGTATGATCTATAGTCCGGACTATTGACTATAGTCTAGCCTATAGTCCAGTATATGTCCAGACTATAGTTTAGTCTATAGTCCAGTCCATGTCCAGACTATAGTCTTGTCCAGATTATAGCCTAGTATAGAATATAGGATAGTCTATAGTTCAGAGTTTAAACTAGAGTATAGCCTAAAGTCTGAACTATAGTCTACTCTGAGCTATAGTCTAGTTTATAGTCTAGTCTATATTCTGGACGATAGTCCAATCTATAGCCCAGACCATAATCTGGTACAGATATAGTCCAGAATATAATCTAGTACAGATTGAGGTCTTGTAAAAAATCTAAACTATAATCCAGATTATAGTTCTGTCTGTATTCTTGTCTAGTCTGTAGTGAAGATTATAGTCTATTTCATATCCCAGACTATAGTACAGTAAAGTCTACACTATTATCTAGTATGTAGTTTAGTCTATAGTCCAGACTATAGTCTAGTCTATAGTACAGACTATAGTCTAGTCTTTAGTCCAGACTATAGTCTAGTCTGTAGTCCAGACTATAGTCTAGTCTGTAGTCCAGATTATAGGCTAGTTTATAGTCCTGACAATATAATAATATATAGTCCAGGCTATAGTCTAGTCTGTAGTCCAGACCATAGTCTAGTATACAGTGCAGACTATAGCCTAGTCTGTAGTCTAGATTATAGTTTAGTCTATAGTCCAGACTAAAGTCTACTCTATAGTCTAGTCTATAATGCACACTATAGTCTAGTCTATAGTCCAGATTATAGTCTAGTCTATAGTCCAGACTATAGTCTAATCTATAGTCTAGTCTATAGTTCAGACTATAGTCTAGTCTATACTCCAGACTATAGTCTAGTCTAGTCTACAGTCCAGACTGTAGTCTAGTCTATAGTCCAGAGTATAACCTAGTCTATTGTCCGGACTTTAGTCTGGTAAGTATATAGCTTAGCCATAGTCCAAAATATATGTAGTTTATAGTCTAGTATTTTGTCTAATCTATAGTGAAGAGTATAGTTAAGTCCATAGTAAAGTCCATAGACACTATTACCTAGTATATAGTTCAGTCTATAGTCCAGCCTATAATCTAGTCTATAGTCCATACTATAGTCTAGTATATAGTCCAGACTATAGTCTAGTCTGTAGACCAGAGTATAGTCTAGTCTGTAGTCCAGACTGTTGTCTTGTCCATAGTCTAGTATATAGTCCCACATCGAATTCTCTCCTTTATTTAATTATAGTCTAAAAATATTTATTCATACTTATCTTTTACTAGTCACCATGACTGAAGAAAGTTATATTGATCCATATAATTTGATAAGATTACAATTTCTTTTGTTGGATTATTCGGATGGGTAAGCATGATTAGACATAATATCGTAATACTGCTATGAATACGTTAAAAAAGTTATTATCTGATAAAATAAACCACATTTTTTATTATTTTTATTAATTTTTCACCAATATCACTAAAATCAAGAGGTCATGATTTGTGGATCGAATGAAGTATGAAAACTAAATTGAAGATTCTGTAAACACTTTTTCTAAACAGTACTTGCCATTTCCCCCCGCGATTACCTAGAAATTGAATATAGACTTTCATTAACAGGTCAGTGAACTAGTCTTAAGGATTTGTTGTGCTTAAGATTAGAATAAGCAATACTGATACACCGATTTAGTTGTTAATTATGTATTGGACAAATTCTCAAATTCTTATCACATTTGTATCTCCTTTCTTGATAGACTTATATTTCCCACAGGGAACTCAACTATAACTGTAAATTTTACTGAATAACTTTTTTAAAAACTTGTTTTAGTTTATATTAAACTTTTTACGCACTATTTTTATATATTTCTGACATTAAATACAGAATTTCGTTAAGTATAAAGGGTCTATATTTTGAACAATATAAAGTAATTAGTAATTTATAATTGAACAAACATAATTCGGTGTTGTACTTATAAAATTAAACATTAATAATAAATTCGTGTGAATGGAATTACTATGTTGACTAATTATAATAATTAAACAAACAAAATCGTTTAATAACTAAAAAAAACTTTTAAGGAATCATAATGTTATTATATTTTTTATAATTTATTATACAAAAGGAAAATTTTTAATACAATGTAATAACAATTTATAAGTGGTAACAATTATAGTATTAAAATTATTAACAACTTTAGCATTGTAATTAATTAATTAATCAATCATTATTTCCGTATTAAATGTTATTATCTTTTAACCAGAATTATATGATTTGTTTATGCCTTTAACTAAACCCTACTCCACTATAGTACGATGTTCTATGAGCACCTTGAAGTATACAAATCGGCTTAAAATAATTTTCTTTGAAGACTAGGTCCTCTTCATTCATCTGTCCCTCCGTTTGTCTATATAAACCTTTTAATCAAACTATAATTCGCAATTTTTAACATAGCCCTCATATCCTATACCTTTAACTGCTGTAAGGTATCATATAGCCGGTCAAGTTCGACTTTCTTAATTGTTTTTACCTGGAATATTTTACCTGTTATTAAACTACTGTTTATTAACACGTTATAAAAATTTAAATTAAATCAAAATATGTTTTTTTCCTAAAACAAGTAAAATTCTACTCCAGTTTAATAACTAGTCTAAAGTCCAAGACGATCTGGTTATCCATTACGTTGTCCAGACTTTGGATTAAAGCTATGTATAAATCCAGTCCCTAGACTTATTTACAGTTCAGATTAGTCTAGACTATATTCTAATCTAAAGCTAAGACTATAGTCTAATATATAGACTGTAGTCTAATCTATAAGTCCTGACTATAGTCTAATTTATAGTCCAGACTATAGCCTAGCCTATAGTCCATACTATGGTCTAGCCTATAGGCCAAACTTTAGTCGACTATATAGTCCAGACTACAGTTCAGTTTAGAGTCCGGACTGTAGCTTCGTGTATGGCCCAGACTATACTCTAGTCTAATCTATGGTACTGACAATAGTCTAGTCTATAGTCCAGACTATAGTCTAGTCTATAGTCCATGCTATAGGTCAGTATATAGTCCATATTATAGGTCAGTATATAGTCCATACTATAGTCTAGTCTATAATCTATAATATAGTCTAGTCTATAGTCCAGCTTATAGTCCAGACTGTAACCTAGTCTATAGACCAGACCAGTCCAGACTATAGTCTAGTCTATAGTCCAGACTATAATCTAGTCTATAGTCTAGACTATGACCTAGTCTATAGTCCAGACTATAATCTAGTCTATAGTCCAGACTATAGTCCATACTATAGTCTAGTCTATAGCCCAGACTATAGTTTAGTCTATAGTGCAGACTGTAGTCTAGTCTATAGTCCAGACTATAGTCTAGTCTATAGTCCAGATTATAGTCTAGTCTATACTCCAGACTATAGTCTAGTCTATAGTCCAGATTATAGTCTAGTCTATAGTCCAGACTATAGTCTAGTCTATAGTCCAGACTATAGTGTAGTCTATAGTCCATACTATAGGTCAGTATATAGTCCATACTAGAGTCTATAGTCCATACTATAGTCTAGTCTATAGTCCATAATATAGTCTAGTCTATAGTCCATAATATAGTCTAGTCTATAGTCCAGTCTATAGTCCAGACTATAATTTAGTCTATAGTCCAGACTATAATTTAGTCTATAGTATAGAAAATAGTCTAGGCTATACTCCAGAAAATAGTCTTATCTATAGTCCATTGTATACTATTATTTATAGTCCAGCCAATAGTCTAATTTCTAATGCAGTCCAGACTATAGTCGAATCTATAGTCTAGACTACAGTCCCACAAATTAGGGGGAAATTCGTTTATACGTATATCTACTAGTCAAGATCTTATATTTATTTATGATAGTATTTTCAAAACCTATGTTCTGTGAAATATTGCTTAAAGAAATCAAAGTATAGTCAGACATAACTCTTAGTAAGTTTGGATTAAGAAGACACTTGATTCATATATAAATTTAAAAAATTGGCTATATTTATTAATTATATACAATAAAGATCATAAGATCTTTTCCCTTTGTTAAAATCATATTAGTACTATGTAAAATATTTACATATTTTATTAAATAATTAAAAATTATTTAGACATCACTTTTCTAAATCTCTGGGTTTTAGACCAATATGCATACCAGTTGTTGAACGTAATATAAGATTAATCACTGGCCTAACATCTGGACCCAACGGCAGCAATTCAAAATGACGCAACATTTTCGAAACAGTACTTTTAATTTCAAATATGGCAAACTTTTGACCTATACAATTGCGTGGTCCAGCCGAGAAGGGTGTATAAGCAAAAGGATGTATTTTCTGATTGCTATCACTTTCAAAACGTTCGGGTATGAACTCATTGGGATGCGTAAAGTAATCGGGATCCCGTAAAACCATAAACAAAGGTATATTTACATTAGTGTTAGCCGGTATGGTAATATCGCCTATAATAAATATAAAACTTTGTATAGAAATCTATAAAAAAGAAAACAATTTTAGCTCAACACTTACCCACTTTAATATCCTCGGTTATTTCCCTTCCTATAGCTGGCACCGAAGGATATAATCTTTGACTTTCCTTAATAACCAATTCCATATATTTCAAATCTTCTAGATCTCGATATGTTACCGGTTTATTTTTGTCGGTGCCTAAAACTATTTTGATTTCCTCCACCAGTTTAGCTTGGACCTCAGGATGGCGGGCTATAAGATATAAAGTAAATGATATGCCACTAGTAGTGTTATCATGACCCTCAAACATAAAGGTATCAACTTCTTCACGTATATCTTCATTGCTTAGAGGAGCACCATTGACGGTAGATTGTAATAACACATCTAATAAGGCCATGCGTTTTTTGGTATTCAAATCAGAATCCTCCGATTCATCTGTAAATTCAGGAATTTTTAAATAAAATTTCTAAACTAAAATGATTTTATTACTTTTAAAAGTGCCATCTTTAATTGACTGCTCCAGAGCCAAACGTCTTTGTTCGATTACATCTGTTGTGAATTTGTGCAAGACTTTAATACAACGTTTTGATTCCTCGTATTGCTTGGGTGCAGTTAAACGAAACAGAAAATCGGTTCTTTGTGAAGGCATAACAAAACGATCGGCCATTATGCGGGATAGACTAAACGAAGGGAACAGAGTTTAACTTTTATGGGGTTTATTAAGGTAATAACTTTCATAAATATCTTACTTGGCTATAGCTTGAACATATTCTAGACCAGGCTGTTCTTGTGCATTTACTTTGACACCCATGGCGGTTTCTGAAAAGAATAATAAGAATTATTTTTAAAAATATATAATTGACTAACTAAAGCCCTGATTATATACTAGAATATAGTACAGATTAAAGACTAGACTATAGACTATAATATGAACTAGACCAGACATTTGATTAAGTATTGTAGACTATACATAGACTAGACTATAGACTAGATTATAGACTAGACTATAGACTAGACTATAGACTAGACTATAGACTAGAATATAGACTAGACTATAGACTAGACTATAGACTAGACTATAGACTAGACTATGGACTAGACTATAGACTAGACTATGGACTAGACTATAGACTAGACTATGGACTAGACTATAGACTAGACTATAGACTAGATTATAGACTAGACTATATACTAGACTATAGACTAGACTATAGACTAGACTATAGACTAGACTATGGACTAGACTTAGACTAGACTATAAACTAGACTATTGACTAGATTATAGACTAGACTAAAGACTAGACTATAGACTAGACTATAGACTAGACTATAGACTAGACTATCGACTAGACTATAGACTAGACTATAGACTAGACTATCGACTAGACTATAGACTAGACTATAGACTAGACTATGGACTAGACTATAGACTAGACTATAGACTAGACTATGGACTAGACTATAGACTAGACTAAGACTAGACTAGACTAGACTATAGACTAGACTATAGGCTAGACTATAGACTAGACTATAGGCTAGACTATAGACTAGACTATAGACTAGACTATAGACTAGACTATTGACTAGACTATAGACTAGACTATAGACTAGACTATAGACTAGACTATAGACTAGACTATAGACTAGACTATAGACTAGACTATAGACTAGACTATTGACTAGACTATAGACTAGACTATAGACTAGACTATAGACTAGACTATAGACTAGACTATAGACTAGACTATAGACTAGACTAGACTATAGACTAGACTATAGACTAGACTAGACTATAGACTATAGACTAGACTATAGACTAGACTATAGACTAGACTATAGACTAGACTATAGACTAGACTATAGACTAGACTATAGACTAGACTATAGACTAGACTATAGACTAGACTATAGACTAGACTATAGACTAGACTATAGACTAGACTATAGACTAGACTATAGACTAGACTAGACTAGACTAGACTAGACTAGACTAGACTAGACTAGACTAGACTAGACTAGACTATAGACTACAGACTATAGACTATAGACTAGACTATAGACTATACTAGACTAGACTATAGACTAGACTATAGACTAGACTATAGACTAGACTATAGACTAGACTATAGACTAGACTATAGACTAGACTATAGACTAGACTATAGACTATACTATAGACTAGACTATAGACTAGACTATAGACTAGACTATAGACTAGACTATAGACTAGACTACAGACTAGACTATAGGCTAGATTATAGGCTAGACTATAGACTAGACTATAGACTAGACTATAGACTAGACTATTGACTAGACTATAGACTAGACTATAGACTAGACTATAGACTAGACTATAGACTAGACTAGACTAGACTATAGACTAGACTATCGACTAGACTATAGACTAGACTATAGACTAGACTATAGACTAGACTATAGACTAGACTATAGACTAGACTATAGACTAGACTATAGACTAGACTATAGACTAAACTATAGACTAGACTATAGACTAGACTATAGACTAGACTATAGACTAGTCTATAGTCCAGTCTAGTCTAGTCTAGTCTAGTCTAGTCTAGTCTAGTCTATAGTCTAGTCTATAGTCTAGTCTATAGTCTAGTCTATAGTCTAGTCTATAGTCTAGTCTATAGTCTAGTCTATAGTCTAGTCTATAGTCTAGTCTATAGTCTAGTCTATAGTCTAGTCTATAGTCTAGTCTATAGTCTAGTCTATAGTCTAGTCTATAGTCTAGTCTATAGTCTAGTCTATAGTCTAGTCTATAGTCTAGTCTATAGTCTAGTCTATAGTCTAGTCTATAGTCTAGTCTATAGTCTAGTCTATAGTCTAGTCTATAGTCTAGTCTATAGTCTAGTCTATAGTCTAGTCTATAGTCTAGTCTATAGTCTAGTCTATAGTCTAGTCTATAGTCTAGTCTATAGTCTAGTCTATAGTCTAGTCTATAGTCTAGTCTATAGTCTATAGTCTAGTCTATAGTCTAGTCTATAGTCTAGTCTATAGTCTAGTCTATAGTCTAGTCTATAGTCTAGTCTATAGTCTAGTCTATAGTCTAGTCTATAGTCTAGTCTATAGTCTAGTCTATAGTCTAGTCTATAGTCTAGTCTATAGTCTAGTCTATAGTCTAGTCTATAGTCTAGTCTATAGTCTAGTCTATAGTCTAGTCTATAATCTAGTCTATAGTCCAGTCTATAGTCTAGTCTATAGTCTAGTCTACAGTCTAGTCTATAGTCTAGTCTATAGTTTAGTCTATAGTTTAGTCTATAGTTTAGTCTATAGTCTAGTCTACAGTCTAGTCTATAGTCTAGTCTATAGTTTAGTCTATAGTTTAGTCTATAGTCTAGACTATACTATAGACTATACTATAGACTAGACTATAGACTAGACTATAGACTAGACTATAGACTAGACTATAGACTAGACTATAGACTAGACTATAGACTAGACTATAGTCTAGACTATAGTCAGTCTAGACTATTGACTGGACTGTAACCAAACTGTAAGATGTAATGCAGTCTATAGAGCAGGCTATAGTCCTAGTCTATAATACAGACTATAGCACAGCCTTCAGATTATCAGATTTTTATAAAAAATTCGAAGCCTATGGTTTTTACTGTAATGGGCAGCATCGATAGTAGAGGCAGCCGTTAACCTATTTTAATGAGAGCACTTTTAAACATACAACAAAGATGAATGTAGATTTTAATCGGAATATAATATGTAATTACACTTGCTGTTCAAAGTTAATTTTATAACAATAAAAACAATGACTTTACAAAATTCAAACAATAATTTTAATAATGTGAATTGTGTTTTAGGCTTTATAGTGTCTAACTAATTTCAGCAATTAAAAAGTTTTGACTATATAAAATTACTACCACTCACCTGCTATAATATCTAAAGCACTCAAACACACCACCGGAAATATATCAATATCAGTTTTACCATCAGCTTTCCCATATAATTTCTTGACCATAATACTACTTTGTTGATCGAAAATCTCAACAAATTGTTCGAGAATTTTAAAGTGGAATGTGGGCGTTATAATCTTACGTCTTGAATGCCATTTCTTGCCCCAACTCAAGAGTAAACCACGACCCAACCAACCCACTAGAAAATCATATAAACTACTTTTCTTAATCATTTGTTGACTGCTAAGAACCACTTCCAAATATTTGGGATCCAATATGACAACACTTAATTGATGCAGCACCCAAAAACGATAAATTTTACCATATTTTCTTTTAAAATCCCGCACAGATTCAATGACATCTAGAGAAGATATATAACAGACTAATAACAATTTATAATATTTATTGGTCCATCATACTTACTATCACTATTAACATGTCTTACATCCAGTGTATTGCCTATAATAGGCAATGTTTTAGGTCCCGGTATATGCGATTTTTCCAATACTACATTACGATGTTTTTTGTTAAGGTAGTCCCACACAAAGATTAGCACCAGCAGGCCCAATATTAATTCTATAAACATGTTTTAAGCTAAAGAGTACAATTATCACTAACGATTTCCATTGCTAGTAAAATGTTTAAATAGAGACTTTACTAAATATAGTTAGTTGGTTCGGTATTCTAGATTAAAAGAGTAATTGTTTTGTGTAGTAAAGAGTATGATCGATCACTGATCTCATTGTATAGTTACTATATTTCTATAGATTTTTTTGCAGATAGTTTTGTTATTTTAAGAGTTGTAGCAAGTCAAAGTCCATAATGTATTCACCCATTGAAACTATTCTCTCTTTATCTCTTGTTTTTTGAGAAGTTTTTAAAAAACTCAATCTAAAATTAGTATCGGCGTTTAAAGTACTTTGATTAAAATAAATTGTAGGAAAATATTTAAAAGTACTTAAAATGTAAAAGTACTTTATTAACATTTTTGTACCCAGTTATGCATATTTCGGCACTGACATGTTATTCTCTCTAATAAATTTTTGATACTATATTCAGTTCTAGTTCTGTTGTAGTTCTGTTGCAGTTCTGTTGCAGTTCTGTTGTAGTTCTGTTTTAGGTCTGTTCTAGTTCTGTTCTAGTTCTGTTCTAGTTCTGTTCTAGTTCTGTTCTAGTTCTGTTCTAATTCTGTTCTAGTTCTGTTCTAGTTCTGTCTAGTTCTGTCTAGTTCTGTCTAGTTCTGTTCTAGTTCTGTTCAAGTTCTGTTCTAGTTCTGTTCTAGTTCTGTTCTAGTTCTGTTCTAGTTCTGTTCTAGTTCTGTTCTAGTTCTGTTCTAGTTCTGTTCTAGTTCCGTTCTAGTTCTGTTCTAGTTCTGTTCTAGTTCTGTTCTAGTTCTGTTCTAGTTCTGTTCTAGTTCTGTTCTAGTTCTGTTCTAGTTCTATTCTAGTTCTGTTCTAGTTCTGTTCTAGTTCTGTTCTAGTTCTGTTCTAGTTCTGTTCTAGTTTTGTTCTAGTTCTGTTTTAGTTCTGTTCTAGTTCTGTTCTAGTTCTGTTCTAGTGCTGTTCTAGTTCTGTTCTAGTTTTGTTCTAGTTATGTTCCAGCTCTGTTCTAGTTCTGTTCTAGTTCTGTTTTAGTTCTGTTCTAGTTCTGTTCTAGTTCTGTTCTAGTTCTGTTCTAGTTCTGTTCTAGTTCTGTTCTAGTTCTGTTCTAGTTCTGTTCTAGTTCTGTTCTAGTTCTGTTCTAGTTCTATTGTAGTTCTGTTGTAGTTCTGTTCTAGTTCTGTTTTAGTTCTGTTCTAGTTCTGTTCTAGTTCTGGTCTAGTTCTGGTCTAGTTCTGTTCTAGTTCTGTTCTAGTTCTGTTCTAGTTCTGTTCTAGTTCTGTTCTAGTTCTGTTCTAGTTCTGTTCTAGTTCTGTTCTAGTTCAGTTCTAGTTCTGTTCTAGTTCTGTTCTAGTTCTGTTCTAGTTCTGTTCTAGTTCTGTTCTAGTTCTGTTCTAATTCTGTAGTTCTAGTTCTGTTCTAGTTCTGTTCTAGTTCTGTTCTAGTTCTGTTCTAGTTCTGTTAGTTCTGTTCTAGTTCTGTTCTAGTTCTGTTCTAGTTCTGTTCTAGTTCTGTTCTAGTTCTGTTCTAGTTCTGTTCTAGTTCTGTTTTAGTTCTGTTCTAGTTCTGTTCTAGTTCTGTTCTAGTTCTGTTCTAGTTCTGTTCTAGTTCTGTTCTAGTTCTGTTCTAGTTCTGTTCTAGTTCTGTTCTAGTTCTGTTCTAGTTCTGTTCTAGTTCTGTTCTAGTTCCGTTCTAGTTCTGTTCTAATTCTGTTCTAGTTCTGTTCTAGTTCTGTTCTAGTTTTGTTCAAGTTCTGTCTAGTTCTGTTTTAGTTCTGTTCTAGTTCTGTTCTAGTTCTGTTCTAGTTTTGTTCTAGTTCTGTTCTAGTTCTGTTCTAGTTCTGTTCTAGTTATTTTCCAGTTCTGTTCTAGTTCTGTTCTAGTTCCGTTCTAGTTCTGTTCTAATTCTGTTCTAGTTCTGTTCTAGTTTTGTTCTAGTTTTGTTCTAGTTCTGTTCTAGTGCTGTTCTAGTTCTGTTCTAGTTTTGTTCTAGTTATGTTCCAGCTCTGTTCTAGTTCTGTTCTAGTTCTGTTTTAGTTCTGTTCTAGTTCTGTTCTAGTTCTGTTCTAGTTCTGTTCTAGTTCTGTTCTAGTTCTGTTCTAGTTCTGTTCTAGTTCTGTTCTAGTTCTATTGTAGTTCTATTGTAGTTCTATTGTAGTTCTGTTGTAGTTCTGTTCGAGTTCTGTTTTAGTTCTGTTCTAGTTCTGTTCTAGTTCTGTTCTAGTTCTGTTCTAGTTCTGTTCTAGTTCTGTTCTAGTTCTGTTCTAGTTCTGTTCTAGTTCTGTTCTAGTTCTGTTCTAGTTCTGGTCTAGTTCTGGTCTAGTTCTGTTCTAGTTCTGTTCTAGTTCTGTTCTAGTTCTGTTCTAGTTCTGTTCAAGTTCTGTTCAAGTTCTGTTCTAGTTCTGTTCTAGTTCTGTTCTAGTTCTGTTCTAGTTCTGTTCTAGTTCTGTTCTAGTTCTGTTCTAGTTCTGTTCTAGTTCTGTGCTAGTTCTGTTCTAGTTCTGTTCTAGTTCTGTTCTAGTTTTGTTCTAGTTCTGTTCTAGTTCTGTTCTAATTCTGTTCTAGTTCTGTTCTAGTTCTGTTCTAGTTATTTTCTAGTTCTGTTCTAGTTCTGTTCTTGTTCTGTACTAGTTCTGTTCTAGTTCTGTTCTAGTTCTGTTCTAATTCTGTTCTAGTTCTGTACTAGTTTTGTTCTAGTTATGTTTTAGTTCTGTTCTAGTTCTGTTCCAGTTCTATTCTAGTTCTGTTCTAGTTCTGTTCTAGTTCTGTTCTAGTTCTGTTCTAGTTCTGTTCTAGTTCTGTTCTAGTTATGTTCTAGTTCTGTTCTAGTTCTGTTCTAGTTCTTTTCTAGTTCTGTTCTAGTTCTGTTCTAGTTCTGTTCTAGTTCTGTTCTAGTTCTGTTCTAGTTCTGTTCTAGTTCTGTTCTAGTTCTGTTCTAGTTCTGTTCTAGTTCTGTTCTAGTTCTGTTCTAGTTCTGTTCTAGTTCTGTTATAGTTCAATTCTAGTTCTGTTCTAGTTCTGTTCTAGTTCTGTTCTAGTTCTGTTTTAGTTCTGTTCTAGTTCTGTTCTAGTTTTGTTCTAGTTCTGTTCTAGTTCTGTTCTAGTTCTGTTCTAGTTCTGTTCTAGTTCTGTTCTAGTTCTGTTCTAGTTCTGTTCTAGTTCTGTTCTAGTTCTGTTCTAGTTCTGTTCTAGTTCTGTTCTAGTTCTGTTCTAGTTCTGTTCTAGTTCTGTTCTAGTTCTGTTCTAGTTCTGTTCTAGTTCTGTTCTAGTTCTGTTCTAGTTCTGTTCTAGTTCTGTTCTAGTTCTGTTCCAGTTCTGTTCTGTTCTGGTTTTGTTCTTGTTCTGTTCTAGGTCTGCTCCAATTCTGTTCTAGAACAGAGTTGTATTATTGTTCTAGTTCAGTTCAAGATCGAGTTCACTTCTAGTTCGGCTCAGATCAAGTTCAGTTCTCTGTCGTTCCATTGCTTAATTCTTAATTTTTTCCTTGTCAAATTTAATTCCTTAATATTTGTAAATTATTTTTTAAAATGCATTTATTTAAGTACTCAAAATCTAATAATACTCTTAACATTAGTTCAGCAAACATTACTTAATACTTTAAAATAATAATTACATTTACTTATCCCCATTTTTGGCAAGGTCCAATGTGGAAAGTCTTTTATAGTTTTCTTAATCAGCCTTTTACAGAACCCTGGGTTTAAGTCCAACATGCATACCGGTGGTAGAACGTAAAATGAGATTAATTACCGGTTTAACATCAGGACCCAATGGCAGTAATTCAAAATGACGCAACATTTTCGATAAAGTACTCTTCATTTCCAACATGGCAAACTTTTGGCCAATACAGTTACGTGGCCCAGCCGAAAAAGGAGTATAGGCGAAGGGATTGATTTTTTCACCCTCAACACTATCAAAACGTTCCGGTTTAAAGTCATCGGGATCGCTGAAGTAATCGGAATCACGTAAAACCATAAATAAGGATAAACTTAAATTGGTGTTAGCGGGTATAGTTATATCACCTAAAATTTTGTATACAAATTAAAATGTAGTTCAAAATCGAATGTTGATTATCTATGTACTTACCCACTTGTGTGTCCTCAGTTATTTCCCTGCCTATAACTGGTACTGAGGGATATAAACGTTGACTTTCCTTTATAACACATTCCATATATTTCAAATCCTGCAGCTCACGATATGTTACCGGTTTATTCTTGTCGCTGCCCATAACTTCTTTGATCTCCTCCACAAGTTTTGTTTGCACCTCCGGATGTCGAGCTATTAAGTACAAAGCAAATGATATGCCACTAGTAGTGGTATCATGACCCTCAAACATAAAGGTATCAACTTCTTCACGTATATCCTCATTAGTCAAAGGAGCACCATTGACGGTAGATTGCAATAAAACATCTAATAAAGCCATGCGTTTTTTAGCATTCAATTCTGAATCTTCTGCTTCAGCTAAAAGTAAAACAAAATTTCGTTCAGAGAAAGTTGGGGAAAATCTGAGGAAACTTACTTGTCACAGAACTTTCCTTTAGCTTTTGTTCGAGAGCCTCACGTCTTTGTTCGATAACATCTGTTGTGAATTTATGCAGAACTTTGATGCAACGCTCAGCTTCTTGATATTCCTTGGGTGCTGTTAAACGAAATAGAAAATCAGTTCTTTGCAGGGGTTTAACGAAGCGATTAGCCATTATCCGCGAGAGTCTATATTAAAAATGGGCATTTTAGTTTAAAAAGTGAAAGGGGGTCATATTTAATTTAAAAACTTACGTGGTTATGGCTTGAGGATATTCTAGACCCGGCTGTTCTTGAGCATTTACTTTAACACCCATGGCCGTTTCTGAAAGTTGAACAGAGTGAAAAATGGTAAGAGTTTATTTGAAAGCAAAAGTTGTTATAAAGTTTTGATTGTTTATATCTTAATATTATCTAATTAGTTAAGTTTAAATTTAACTTTTAGTAATCTTATCTTTTTATGAGTTTGTTTAAAAAACAAATTTATAGACAAAAGATAAATATATACAACTGAGCCCCTAATCTTTAGAAGAGACTATATAGTCTGGTATATAGTGAAGACTATAGTATATATACTCTGGTCTATAATCTAGACTATAGGCAGCTCTCTCTAGACTATAGGCAAGAATATTGTCTAATCTATAGTCAAGACTATAGTCTGGTCAGTAGTCTAGATTATGGTCTACAGTCTAGACTATAGTCTGGTCTACAGTCAATACTATTCTCTAGTCTTGAGTATATTCTTTTCTAGTCAATTGTCTAGTCTATAGTTGATATTATAGTCAGGTCTATAGTCTTGGCTATAATCAGATCTATAGTCTAAACTATAGTCTGGACTATAGTCTAGACTATAGTCTGGTCTATAGTCTAGACTATAGTTTAGTTTATAGTATGGTCTATAGTCCGATCTATAGTCTAGATTATATAAAGTCTGGTCTATATTCTGGTAAATAGTCTAGATTATCGTCAAGAGTAGACTATAGTCTGCTCTATAGTCTAGACTATAGGGTGGTCTATAGTCGAGACTATAGGGCGGTCTATATTCTATACTATAGTCTGGCCTATATTCTGCTCTCTAGTCCATGCTATAGTCTGCTCTATAGACTCAGATTATTCTCGGGTCAGTAGTCGAGGCTACAGTCTGTACTATAGATGATCTATAGTCGAGACTATAGTCTGGTCTTTACTCGAGACATAGTCGAGACTAAAGTCTTCTCTATAGTCGTGACTATAGTCTGGTCTATAGTCTAGACTGTAGTCTGGTCTATAGTCTAGACTGTAGTCTATAGTCTAAACTCTAGTGTGGTTTATATGTTAGAATGTAGTCTGAACTATAGTTTGGTATATAGTCTAGACTGTAGTCTGGACTCTAGTCTAGAAGGCGGTCAGGTATTTAGTCTAGACTATAGTCTGGTATAGCTATAGACCAGATTATAGTTTAGTCTAGGCTACTATCTAAACTTCCATCTCACTTACCCGCTATAATATCCAAAGCACACAAACACACCACTGGAAATACATCAATTGCAGTTTTACCATCAGCCTTCTCATACAATTTCTTCACCATAACAGCACTTTGCTGATCGAAAATTTCCACAAACTGTTCGAGTATCTTAAAGTGGAAGGTGGGCGTTATGATCTTACGTCTCGAATGCCATTTCTTGCCCCAACTCAAAAGTAAACCACGACCCAGCCAACCCTCTACAAAATCATATAAACTACTTTTCTTAATCATTTGTTGACTGCTCAAGATGATTTCCAAATATTTCGGATCCAAGATAATAACACTCACTTGATGCAGCATCCAAAAGCGATAAATTTTACCATATTTTCTTTTATTTTCGTGGGCAAATTCAATGAGATCTAAAATATAAATTTTTAAATTTAATTTGTTTAAGAAAATGTTCTTAATTTATACTTACTATCACTATTAACATGTCTATTACGCAAAGCGTTGCCTAAAATAGGCAATGGCTTGGGACCTGGTATACCCGCTTTATCCAATAATTCATAGCGATGTTTTTTATTTAAATAGTCCCACAGAAACAGTAGACCGATTAAGCCCAATAATAATTCCAAAAACATGTTGTCTGCTGAAGAGCTAAATTGCTACTAAAGTATTTTGACTGAAACGGAAATCGCTAGAGGCTTGTCTGACTGTTCATTTTAAAGCCAAAATAAACGTGTGTGAGTGATGGACTTTGATAACATTTAAATCTTTTTTTTTTTTTTGGTTTAATCATTTATTTAGATTGTCTTCTGAGATAATGTTATTCTTAGGTATTTTTGTGTATTTAAATGAATAGCGTTTTTTAAGAGTTACACAAATATTTTTTCTCTTTGTTAATGCAAAATCTTTATGTTTTCGCATAGAAGGAACTTTGAAAGTATTGATTCATTAATTCTGATCTACAGTATAGATTAGAACTCGATCTACAGTCTTGCTTATAGTATATATTAAAAGCTGAAGTATACTGTTGACTTATAATCTTGTTTATAGTTTACACTAGAGTCTATATTGTAGATTGGTCTATACTATAGTGGGGTATGTCTAAAGTCTGGTGTATAGTCTATTCTATATTATATACTATAGTCTGGTCTATAGTCAAGACTTCAGTCTGCGGAATAGATGAGACTATAATCCTAGACAATACGTTAGACTATATTTTAGACCATGGATCAGACTATAGTCTCGATAATAAACCAGACTTATGTCTCTAGTCTACACTATAGTCTGGCCTATATTATAAACTATACTCTGGTCTATTGTCTAGACTTCAATCTGGGGAATAGTCAGGTTTCTATAGTCTAGTTTGTAACCGAATCGGGACTATAATCAGGACCATCATCTTGTCTACATTCTAGACAATAGGTCAGACTATAAAGATCAGACTATAAGACTATAGGTCTTAACTATATTCTGGTCTATTATCAACACTATAGTCTGGTCTATAGTCTAGACAATAGTTTAGGCTATAGTCTAGACAACGGATCAGATTATAGTTCCGATAGTAGACCTAACTATATTCTATATTGCCTAGTCTATAGTCTAGACTAAAGTACTGTCTATAGCCTGAACTATCGTCTGTTATATACTACGGTAATATATTTAACCTTATCATATATATAACCCTAGTTTCCTCCTGGTAGTCGGAAAATATCTTAACCTCTGTTGGCACCATATACTCTCCAATCCTCTTCACACATTCCAGCTATATCGACCAGCAATTGCTATACAAATTATTTAAATAATTTTATTGTTATACAAATGTTATTCCTTAAAAAGCCCCTGTAGTCCGTTATTGGGTTAATATGAAACGAATTGAAATGAAACACAGTTGATTGTTAGTTTTCCATACACCTTCACCCCAAGTATTTCCTCAAAACAAATTAAATGTGATCAAAGTGTAAATGTACAGTGCGATAAGAAGTCTGTGATAATGCGGGTCCAAGTCAAACAGATTTATTTGCATTTTTTAATAATACAAAATGGAAGATGACTAAATGAGTAGAGAAAACATAAGAAAGAAATGGGGAAAACATATTACATATAAAATGATATAGGGGTAAACATAATCCGGGAAATATTTTCACATACAAACTCCTCCTCTGCCTATTTCAAAGACCTCTTTATCTAATTTTGTAAGTCCGTATACAATAATTCTAAATATTTATAGATCTGAGTAGAGGACCGAGAACGATGAACATTTCCTAAATATTCTGTGATTCTAAATAATTTTTTATTTAGGATATGGGTTTGTATGAAATGAAGTGGAATTGCGAGTTTAAAGCTATCTTTAATATTTCTTAATAGATTAGGGTGGTTAGTCAGTCCAGGAGTTCTGGGTTGGATTGCCTCCAGAAATTCTGAAAAAGGAGTGAACTAAATAACTAACTAACTAACTAACTAACTAACTAACTAACTAACTAACTAACTAACTAACTAACTAACTAACTAACTAACTAACTAACTAACTAACTAACTAACTAACTAACTAACTAACTAACTAACTAACTAACTACTAACTAACTAACTAACTAACTAACTAACTAACTAACTAACTAACTAACTAACTAACTAACTAACTAACTAACTAACTAACTAACTAACTAACTAACTAACTAACTAACTAACTAACTAACTAACTAACTAACTAACTAACTAACTAACTAACTAACTAACTAACTAACTACTAACTAACTAACTAACTAACTAACTAACTAACTAACTAACTAACTAACTAACTAACTAACTAACTAACTAACTAACTAACTAACTAACTAACTAACTAACTAACTAACTAACTAACTACTAACTAACTAACTAACTAACTAACTAACTAACTAACTAACTAACTAACTAACTAACTAACTAACTAACTAACTAACTAACTAACTAACTAACTAACTAACTAACTAACTAACTAACTAACTAACTACTACTAACTAACTAACTAACTAACTAACTAACTAACTAACTAACTAACTAACTAACTAACTAACTAACTAACTAACTACTAACTAACTAACTAACTAACTAACTAACTAACTAACTAACTAACTAACTAACTAACTAACTAACTAACTAACTAACTAACTAACTAACTAACTAACTAACTAACTAACTAACTAACTACTAACTAACTAACTAACTAACTACTAACTAACTACTAACTAACTAACTAACTAACTACTAACTAACTAACTAACTAACTAACTAACTAACTAACTAACTAACTAACTAATCTAACTAACTAACTAACTATTAGGCCAAAATACGAAATTGTTTAAACTAAGGTTAACCGTTTCGAAACGGTGAAAAAATAGGTATTTTACAGGTTTCGGTATTTTTGCTTATTTCGGTAATGGTGTCTTCGGGTTATCGCTATTTGGGTTTATTTTGGTATTGGTATTCAGCGAAAACTGTAATAGTTTTTCAAAATATTTCCTCTAGATTTTGAATAAAATTCAATACAATTTCCCCATATTTAGATATACATATTACCATTAATTATAATAAAAGTCCCTTTAATTTTTGATCATATAAAAATAATTTTATTTAATATTGCTCTCCTTAATCTAAAATATATATAATTTATTTGCTAATATAATTTAAAACATAAAAATCACTAGATTTAAGACCATAAATTCCTAAAAACGCTCAACTAAAAAACTCTTGGTCTCACACCAATATGTACACCAGTCGAAGAACGTATAATAAGATTAATTATAGGCTTAGCATCGGGACCCAAAGGTAGCAATTCAAAATGACGCAACATTTTCGATATGGTACTCTTCATTTCCAAGGTGGCAAACTTTTGACCAATACAATTGCGTGGACCGGCCGAAAAAGGAGCATAGGCAAAGGGGTTGACTTTCTGCATGCTATCATCCGAGAAACGTTCCGGTTTAAAGGCATTGGGTTCGGGGAAGTAATCAGGATCACGCATGACGGCGAAGAGATTAATGTTAATGTTAGTATTGGCGGGTATAGTAATATCACCTAATTGCACATGAAAAATATTAGTTAATTGTTACTTTTTAACTGTTAAACTCACTTACCCACTAATATATCTTCCGTTATTTCACGACCTATAACCGGTACCGAGGGATATAATCTTAAAGTTTCTTTGATAACACATTCCATATATTTTAAATCTTGTAAATCCCTAAAGCCCACCGGTTTATATTTGTCGGTGCCTAAAACATTTTTAATTTCATCCACTAGTTTAGCTTGGACCTCAGGATGACGGGCTATTAAGTACAAAGCAAAAGCTATACCACTAGTAGTGGTATCATGACCCTCAAACATAAACGTATCAACTTCTTCACGTATATCCTCATTGGTTAAAGGAGCACCATTTATCGTGGACTGTAGTAGAACATCTAGTAAAGCCATGCGTTTTTTAGTATTCAAATCTGAGTCATCGGCTACTTCTAAAAGAAGTGAAAATTTTAAGTTTTAATAGGAACTATTATTTCTTAAAGGTCTTGAAATATTTTACTTTTATAACTGCCATCTTTTAGCGATTTTTCCAGGGCCGTTCGACGCTGTTCTATAACATCTATGGTGAATTTGTGCAATGTGGATATACATTGTTCAGTTTGTCTATATAATTTAGGAGCTGATAAGCGAAATAGGAAATCGGTTCTTTGAAGAGGACTAAACACACGATTGGCTGAAATTTGGGACATGCTAGAAGTGGTTTGGAATGGTTTGAAATTTAGAGTAATAGTAAAAATATCATTAAAATCTTGAAATACTTACGTGGCTATGGCTTGAACATATTCCAGGCCCGGTTTTTCTTGGGCGTTAACTTTTACTCCCATGGCAGTTTCTGAAAAGATGTAAAAGAAATCGAAATAAATGCAATTTCCAAACCTTTCTCTAGGGATCTCATTTATACTCTGATTTCTTTTATTAGCTTTCCAGAAGTTAAATTTTCTCACCAGAACAGATATATGAAGTATTCGAAATTTGCTTTAGATCAAAGTCCAATTCATGTTTTAACTTTCAGATTTGTTTAATATAAAATTATTTTTAAAGTGATCTTTAAACTTTTAAACTACTATCCATATTACAACATAGAACACAACTCTTTACTGAATCCCGATTTCCAAATAAACTCACCCGTTATAATATCCAATGCACACAAACACACTACCGGGAATATATCAATCTCCGTTTTACCATCAGCCTTCTGGTACAGTTTTTCCACCATAACACTACTCTGTTGATCGAAAATCTCCACAAATTGCTCCAATATCTTAAAGTGGAAAGTAGGAGTAATAATCTTACGTCTCGAATGCCATTTCTTGCCCCAACTCAAAAGTAAACCACGACCCAACCAGCCCGCAATGAAATCATATAAACGACTTTTCTTAATCATCTGTTGACTGCCGAAAATCACTTCTAAATATTTGACATCCAAAACGAAAACACTCACTTGATGCAAAACCCATATACGATAGATTTTGCCATATTTATGCTTACACTGTTGCACAAAATCGATCATATCTAAAATTATATAAAAAAAAAACACTTTCTTTATAAAGGATCTTGTTTCAAAATAGTTTTTCTCTCACTTTCTGTATTAACATGTTTTATATCGAGCGAATTCCCCAATATGGGTAAGGTTTTAGGTCCTCGTATACCCGATTTACTAAACACTTCATTACGATGTTTTTTACTTAAATAATCCCAGACTAGTAGAAAGGCTAGAGCGCCCAAGATTAGTTCCACAAACATATTGTTTTGATCGTTTCGTAGGATTGCAACTAAATAAATTTGGAGGCTCGTCTGAAGTGGTTTTTATGTCTGTGGGCTAGATCATTTTATATACAGAGGCAAGCCAGACATTTTTATTATAATTTTTATTTTGATTAAAGTGTATTGGTATGATGGTCTATATACAGGTCTTTACCTAGGGATGACACAAGTTTGTGTGTACGTTTTCTTATATATTTATGCGTAGACTTACTGATTATGACTGAATTTTTTTTTATTTCTTTTGCAAACAAGTCTTGGTATTGGTATTTGCATTTATATACAAGAGATTTCAAAGAATCAATTCCTTATCATTAGAATTTACAGAAATAATAACAGGTTTTATGTTGTTATCGAAGAATATTATGATTTTAATATCTTCAATTTCTTGGAACCACAAATCAATACAAATTTTGTTATTAAAAGTTTCAGATTTGAACATACCTGTGCACAGTTCATAGTCTGGACTATAGAATATTACATAGTCTGAACTATAGAATAGTCTATGGTCTGGACTATAGAACAATCTATAGTCTGGACTATAGAACAGTCTGGACTATAGAATAGTCTATAATCTGGACTATAGAACAGTCCTGGATTATAGAATAGTCTATAGCCTGGACTATAGAACAGTCTATAGTAGTGACTGTAGAACAGTCTATAGTCTGAACTATTGAACAGTCTATAGTCTTGACAATAGCACAGTCTGGACCATAGAATTGTCTATAGTCTGGATTATAGAATAGTCTATAGTCTGGACTATAGAATTGTCTATAGTCTGGACTATAGAATTGTCTATAGTCTGGACTATAGAATTGTCTATAGTCTGGACTATAGAATTGTCTATAGTCTGAACTATATAATTGTCTATAGTCTGGACTATAGAACAGTCTATAGTCTGGACTATAGAACAGTCTATAGTCTGGACTATAGAACAGTCTATAGTCTGGACTATAGAACAGTCTATAGTCTGCACTATAGAAAAGTCTATAGTCTGGACCATAGAATAGCCTATAGTCTGAACTATAGAACGGTCTATAGTCTGGACTATAGAATAGTTTATAGTCGGAACTATAGAACAGTCTATAGTCTGGACTATAGAAAAGACCTTAGTCTGGACTATAGAACAGTCTAAAGTCTTTACTATAGAACAGTCTAACATCTGGACTATAGAATAGTCTATAGTCTGGACTATAGAACACTCTAAAGTCTGGACTATAGAAAAGTCCTTAGTCTGGACTATAGAAGAGTCTAACGTTTTTACTATAGAACAGTCTAAAGTCTGGACTATTGAAAAGTCTAAAGTCTGGACTATAGAAAAGTCCTTAGTCTGGACTATAGAACAGTCTTTAGAACAGTCTATAGTCTGCACTACAGAACAGTCTATAGTCTGGATCATAGAATAGCCTATAGCGTGAACTATAGAATTGTTTATAGTCTGGAGTATATAATTGTCTATAGTCTGGACTATAGAATTGTCTATAGTCTGGACTATAGAATTGTTTATAGTCTGGACTACAGAAGTGTCTATAGTCTGGACTTTAGAATTGTCTATAGTCGGGACTTTAGAATTGTCTATAGTCTGGACTATGGAACAGCCTATAGTCTGCACTATAGAACAGTCTATAGTCTACACTATAGAACAGTCTATAGTCTGGATCATAGAATAGCCTATAGTCGGAACTATAGAATTGGACTTTAGAATTGTCTATAGTCTGGACTATAGAACAGTCTATAGTCTGGACTATAGAACAGTCTTTAGTCTGATCTATAGAACAGTCTATAGTCTGGACTATAGAACAGTCTATAGTCTGGACTATAGAACAGTCTATAGTCGGAACTATAGAATAGTCTACAGTCTGGACTATAGAACACTCTAAAGTCTGGACTATAGAAAAGACCTTAGTCTGGACTATAGAACAGTCTAAAGTCTTTACTATAGAACAGTCTAACACCTGGAATAGTCTATAGTCTGGACTATAGAACACTCTAAAGTCTGGACTACAGAAAAGTCCTTAGTCTGGAATATAGAACAGTTTAAAGTCTGCACTATAGAACAGTCTAAAGTCTGGACTATGGAAAAGTCATTAGTCTGAACTATAGAACATTCTTTAGAACAGTCTATAGTCTGCACTATAGAACCGTCTATAGTCTGGACCATAGAATAGCCTAAAGTCTAAACTATAGAGCCGTCTATAGTCTGGACTATAGAACAGTCTATAGTCTGGATTATAGAACAGTCCATAATCTGGACTATAGAACAGTCTATAGTCTGGACTATGCAACAGTCTATAGCCTAGACTATTGAACAGTCTATAGGTTGAACTATAGAACAGTCTATAGTCTTGACTCAGTATATAGTCTGGATTATAGAACAGTTTATAGTCTGAACTATAGAACAATCTATAGTGTGGATTAATGCATTTCCCCTCACAGCGAATACATTCATTTGTACACCTGCCTTCGTAACCTACTTCATCATACATACGTTTAGACAGTCCAAAGTTCAACTTTAAAATAAATATATATACATACAAATGTTTATAAACAAATCTATACAATGTCTGTATGATTATAAATATTTTGGCACGAGTGTATGTTATTATTAGTCTGGCATATTATCATTTAAATATTATTTTAATACATATTTATTATTGTTATTATCAAAGTCCGTCTACCAAGTGTCTCCTATTTATTGTTGTTATTGTGGTTGTTCTTGTTATTAAATATTGTTAATAATTATTTATGTGTGTGTGACTTGTGGCAAATTTCCGCTATTTATAACTTACCGCAAGTTAAACCGGTAAACGCCTACCAAAAAGAGGGCTTGGCTGTGTGTGGTGTGAGTAATGTAAAGAGGCCCTTTATGGGAGATACTTAGTTGTAATGGTGGTGGTAGTAATCGGTTAACAGATGCTACATGTTGTTTTGTAAGTAAATATCGTGTGAAAAACAAGTACTATCATAGAAGAATTGAAAAGATAGTACTTTTCCAAAAATACCTATCAAAATTATGAAAGTAATTCGATCTGAACAGTATTCAGGTCGAATGAACAGCAAATGTAATTGCCGAAGTAAGGCTCGATAATAGTAGATATTATTCTGAACTAGTAGCTCTTCGCTTTACTGAAATTTGGAAGATGTTTTGAGTGTATTATCAGTGATACCATACATATGTGTGCCTGGACTATCGATGAACTAGCTTGACTTATTAATATATTCAGAAAACGATTAATCTATCTGACAATACCCGATATCTTATGAGATCCAAAATATAAGCAATTGATTGGTATAATACTATAACATATACACAATTGAAATGTAACCAATACTTCCTATAACTTTCCTGTCGTAGGGTGCAAATATCAATGACACATTTACAGTAAATAAAAAAGTCGACGCCAGATTACAAATTCAGATTAACATTAGTTAAACGACTCAAGTCCAAACATATTACAAGTTTTTCTTAATTAATCAAATAAATACAACTCAATATGATATTTTTCTTATAAGGATTTTGAACTGAATAATTTGATAATGGAATTTTTAGTAAAATTAGCATTATAAGAATTGTAAGACACTTTGGACTACATACATACACAAATACATACAAAATTTACTACATTGTTTTTACTAATCTGTTGTTATTGATGATTTAAATTTGAAGTCCTATGCAAATAGACTGACAATCGTGTGCCAAAATACCGATGACTTAAAAAAACTGCATCATAAATAATTACATTGATGATGCATAGAATTAAAGAAAACTAAATTCATTAGCATGATATATTATTTTAATTACCCCAAATTTTACACACTTAACCTTCGACTACAGCTAGAGTCAACTAATTAGAATCACGGCATATTATTACTAGTATGATCAGCAGACTCGACTATAGAACAGTTCACAGTATAGACTGCAAAACAGTCTATAGACTGGACTATAGAACAGTCTACCACATAGAACTATAGAACTGCCAACATTACCACCAGGCGTGCAGAAGTATGTAGGTATTTAGCATAACAAAGTTTTAGGGTTATCCCGCCTACGGTCGGTCGTCAGAGCCTCGTTAGCGTAACAAGGGACACCAAGTCTTTACAGTGGGTGAGGTTGACATTAAGAGAGGATAGGCTATGTCTATAGTCTGGACTATAGAACAGTCTATAGTCTGGACTATAGAACAGTCTATAGTCTGGATTATAGAACAGTCTATAGTCTGGATTATAGAACAGCATAGTCTGGACTATAGAACAGTCTATAGTCTGGACTATAGAACAGTCTATAGTCTGGACTATAGAACACTCTATAGTCTGGACTATAGAACACTCTATAGTCTGGACTATAGAACAGTCTATAGTCTGTTCTATAGTCCAGACTATAGACTGCTCTATAGTCCAGACTGTAGACTGTTCTGGACACAGTCTATAGTCTGGATTATAGAATTCTATAGTCTGGACTATAGAACAGTCTATAGTCTGGACTATAGAACAGTCTATAGTCTGGACTATAGAACAGTCTATAGTCTGGACTATAGAACAGTCTATAGTCTGGACTATAGAACAGTCTATAGTCTGGACTATAGAATAGTCTATAGTATGGACTATAGAACAGTCTATAGTCTGGACTATAGAACAGTCTATAGTCTGGACTATAGAACAGTCTATAGTCTGGACTATAGAACAGTCTATAGTCTGGACTATAGAACAGCCTATAGTCTGGATTATAGAACAGTCTATAGTCTGGACTATAGAACAGTCTATAGTCTGGACTATAGAACAGTCTATAGTCTGTACTATAGCACAGTCTATAGTCTGGACTATAGAACAGTCTATAGTCTGGACTATAGCACAATCTATAGTCTGGACTATAGAACAGTCTATAGTCTGGACTATAGAACAGTCTATAGTGTGGACTATAGAACAGTCTATAGTCTGGACTATGAACAGTATATAGTCTGGGCTATAGAACAGTCTATAGTCTGGACTATAGAACAGTCTATAGTCTGGACTATGTAACAGTCTATAGTCTGGGACTATAGAACAGTCCATAGTCTGGACTATAGAACAGTTTATAGTCTGGACTATAGAACAGTCTATAGTCTGGACTATGGGACAGTCTTTAGTCTGGACTATCGATAGTCTGGACTATAGAACAGTCTATAGTCTGGAATGTAGAACATTCTATAGTCTGTACTATAGAACAGTCTACAGTATTGACTGGAGATAAGTCTAGAGTCTTGACTCTTTTAACTAATACTTATGTATATCGTTTCTATTTAACAGATACTTGCTTAACATTTTTCATTACACTAATGTGATTTTTAAGGTTCCAAAGTTCATTCTTAGAATTTCACAAAAGATAAGAATTTTATTAAATGTATAAAACTGTAAACAAAACTGAAACTAAGAATGACATGCACGTTTTTGCCCTCAAACTTATAATTATAGTGAAACGGGTTTATGCAGCCTCAGTTAAACTTGATTTATAAAATAACAAATGAGAGGTTTTTTGAATTTATCGTCAAAAGTTGTTGAGATAAAATTCTGTGCTCTTAAGAATCATATAGTGATGCTTACTTGAGATGGCAAAGGAGGGATAAAAGTACAATTTTGAAAAGGAGTTTTACAGGTTTTAGTTTAGGAACTCTAGTTGAAATTCTTTGTTGAACGAATTTTGATTAATTTTCGATAGTTTTCAGAATATATCTTTAAAGTTGAGTATAAAAATTGATCTGACTAATAGTTTGTTATCGAATCTTTCACTCTCCTCTTTAGATCAAAGTTTTCTTTTCGAAAACGATTTCAAAGTTCCACTAACTATAAATTATATGTATGTTTGATTTTAGTTTGAAAAAAAAGTGTTCCATAGCAACTTGGTTCCTTAGTTGTTCAGTTATAGTATTTCTTGGAATTTCTGATTTGATACTTTTAAATAATTAATTAGGTTAATGATTTTGCATTATTTTTTTTTTTGTTTCAATATTAATTAATCTTTATTCCAAGCAAATTCAATATCAAAATTTATTTCTATAAAATTCAAAAAATTCGCAGAAAACCCTATAGAAATGAAAATTGTTATCGAATTTCTAATGAATTTCTTATAGGTATAGTAATCTGATATTTTTATCTTTAAAAAATGATAATTGAGTTAAGTTATATGTTTTTTCTTAGAATTTTTGAAGAAGAAATATTAAACTAATGTAGAAAATTCTATGAATATCAAGGTGTTGTTTGAATTTCTAAAAACGATTTTGGACCCAAGTCTAAATTTTTGAACCAATTAACCTGGCAACCGATTGGAATTTCATGTTACTTTAGAATTTAATCTTCACCATTCTAATTATTTGGAAGATTTACATTTCTAATATATCTGGTAAAAATTTCCCTTTGATACTTTACAGAAACTCATTTAAACAATACATTCTTTTAAAATATTATTACCATGTGGACCCTATATGTCTCATCATTACTTTGTTGCTATTAATGCAAGGCCCCAGACAAGCGATAATAAAGTTAATGGATTGTATTTTGTCAACAGTTCTAATAATGTCAATGTACGTTCTTTTTACAACTCTTATATGTTCTTAAAGCAGTCAGTATATAAAGAAATCCAATTCTGACTGTAACCGCATAAACCTAATTGTGTTGCAGAGCTAAACACAAGTGGACGCAATAAAGACACCGTCTGTAGAAGATTTTCTATAAAGAAATCTGTTCAGAATATTTTCTATATAAAAATTTTTTATAAAAACAAATCTATCTAGAGCCCCGATCTAGAAGATATTCTATATAGAAATTTAACTAGACTCCGGCTCTAGAAGATTTTCTATACAGAAATCTCTCAAGAACCGACTCCAGAAGATTTTCAATATAAAAATTTAACTAGAGCCCGGCTCTAGAAGTTTTTATATAAAAAATCTATCTAGAGCTCCGATCTAGAAGATTTTCTATATAAAAATTTTACTAAAGCCCGTCTTTAGACGATTTTTTGCAAAAAAATCTAGCTATATCCCGGCTCTAGAAGATTTTCCATATAAAAATTTAACTAGAGTCCGGCTCTAGAAGATTTTCTGTATAATAATCTATCTAAAGCACGGCTTTAAAAGATTTTCTATATAAAAATCTAACTAGGGCCTTGCTCTTCTATATAAAAATCTAACTAGGGCTCGGTTGTAGTAGATTTTTTATAATAAAATCAATTTAGAGCCGACTCTAGAAGATTTTCTATATAAAAATCTAACTAGAGCCCGGATCTTCTATATAAAAATCTAACTAGGGCCCAGTTGTAGAAGATTTTGTATAAAAAAATTAATCTAGAGCCGCCTCTAGAAGATTTTCTATATAAAAATGTAACTAAAGCCCGGCTAAAGACAATTTTCTGCATAAAAACCTAGCTAGAGCCGGGCTCTAGAAGATTTTCTATATCAAATCTAACTAGAGCAGGCTCTAGAAGATTTTCTATATAAAATCTAACTAGAGCAGGCTCTAGAAGATTTTCTATATAAAAATCTATCTAGACCCGACTCAAGAAGATATTCTATAGAAAAATCAAAGTAGAGCCGGCTCTAGAAGATTTTCTACATCAAATTTAGCTAGAGAAGGGTTCCACAAGATTTTCTATATAAAAATCTAACTAGAGCCTTGCTCTTCTATATAAAAATAATAAAATCAATCTCGAGCCGCCTCTATATAAAAAGGTAACTAAAGCCCGGATATAGACAATTTTCTGCATGAAAACCTAGCTAGAGCCCGGCTCTAGAAGATTTTCTAAATAAAATCTAACTAGAGCCGGCTCTAGAATATTTTCTATATAAAAATCTATCTAGAGCTCACGATAGAACCGGATTTTCTATATAAAAATCTATCTAGACCCGACTCAAGAAGATTTTCTATAGAAAAATCAAAGTAGAGCCGGCTCTAGAAGATTTTCTATGTCAAATTTAGCTAGAGAAGGGTTCCACAAGATTTTCTATATAAAAATTTAACTAGTAGTCCGACTATAAAAGAGTTTCTATATAAAAATTTATCTAGAAAAGATTTTCTATACAAAAAACCCTCTATACACCGACATTAGGAGATTTCCTATACATAAATCTCTGTAACTCTAAGCTACAGAAGATTTTCTTACTATCTATCGCCCAGCTCTACATTTCCCTTTCACATCTATTAGTTTTTTTCATGTCGATCTCTGAAACTACTAAATTTATCGTATTACCTCCTACACAGCGTATGAGTTTTCTTCAAATTTTCTCTTTTATGAAC